ACGCTCAGACCTGGACCCTGTGGGGCAGCTGACCCTGCCTCGGCAGCAAATCGGTGGAGCAGACAGCTGGCGGCTGGACCTCCCTCCTCCTCCAAGGCAGGCCCCTTCCCCACAGACTCTGGGTCATTAAGTTTTGCATCATCAAGTCCCCATCCCCAGGCGCCTGTTCACAGCCAGCCTCGGCCTCCCCCCTGACCTCGCAGGCCTTTGTCCCCCTTTGTCCCCCGTGCCCTCAGCACAATGGCAGGGGCTCCCAGGGCCCCAAGCAGCTGCTGTGGCTGGGATGCCGATTTGCTGTGGGGCCAGGAGGACTGGCTGGGGCCCGAGCCCTGCCCACCCCGCTCTGAAGGGCCCACCCGAGCGGCCCACACACTAACGCATTGCACCCACAAGCCTGTGAGAAAACTTGCCTGACTCCCTTGAACAGGCGAGGAAAGTGAGGCCCAGCGAGGTAAAGTGACTTGTCTGAAGGCCTAGAGCCGTGTTCCACCTCCATCCCGCTCCAGCCCCTGCACACCATTTACCTCCACCCTCTTGTAAGCTTCCCTGCTCTTCCTGGTCATGCCCCTTGGTTCTCAAACTCCCTCTGCCAGTAACATCCCCATTCACTGCATGCCGGGCAGATCACCCAGTCTTTGGGTCCAGAGCGAACACCCCCCTGTCAGGAAGCCCTCCGTGACCAGCTGTACCCTCCCCTCCCTGCCCCCCCGCCCCGCCCCTCCAGCCCTGCTCGGGCTCTGCCATAAGGTGAGTTAGCTGCAGCCGCATCTTACTCCCCGTGGAGTCTGTTTCCTTAGCGCTTTGCCACCCAGAGCGTGGCCAGCAGGGTGCCCTAGCCCAGGCTGATGACAGGTGTTTACAGAATGGAACTATGAGGGGGTGCTGGAACCCCAGTTCTGCCCACCAATAGACCTCATACTCCCCCACTCTCTGGCTGTGTGATCTTGGGCGATGACATAATTCCTCTGTGCCCTGCTTCCTCCCCGGGGGAACACCAGCATTTCTTGGGGCTACGATATGAACTCTGGGAGGTACCCGGCAGGTGACCTCTGCCCGGGAATGATCACCATTAGTTCTGTCTACGCCCCACTCCAGCGGCGACACAGGAATGTGGGGGTCAGAAAGACGCCGCTTCCAGCCTCAGCGGGTGTGTGACTCTGGGCAGGTGGCTCACTTCCCAGCGCCTCTACTTCCCCATCTCTGAAATGGCCCTAACGTCGCCAACAGGAATGCAACGCCCCTCCCCACACAGCCTTTTGTTCCAGGCACGAAGTAGGCACTCAGATATTTCTAAACTAATGGGCCAATGGTCCAGGTCGAAGAAACCCAGCCACCTTCCAGCTCCCCCTCCCCCACCCCTACCACCCAGCCTCCAGCAGCCCCCTCCCCACCCAGTGCGGACTAAAATAGTCATTAGGCAGATTTCAAAAGATGTCAGCAGCTTATAATTACAGTCGACATCCTTCTGAGATAAAAGTGATTACCTTGGATGCAAATCACTTAGCAACCAATCAGGGCGGTGGGCGGCGCCCGCGGAGGTGACCGCGCTGGCCCTCCTCCCGCAGCCCGCAGCCCGCCCCGCACAGGCAGAGGCACGGCGGAGGCAGGGAACGCGCACAATAGCTCTTGACACGCAAATGGGTTAACACAATAAAGGCGGCTCCGGCCGCCCCGGGGAGAGCGGCGATTCCCGGCCGGGAGGTGACAGAGCGGCCCTTTTGTGCGCGCCTCCTCCTCACCCCGCCCCAGCCCAGACGAATCGCCGCCGACTGAATTACGGTTCATGAATATGAGCTGCTCCGCTGGCTTCCTCCGGTTGGTGAGGGACTGGAAGGTGGAGGGGGCACGAAGGAGGCTGGGAGGGGCGCCCTGGCCAGGCCCCAGCAGCTCAGATGGGGAGCCACATATGTGGGGTGCCCCGGGTAGGTGGTGGGAGACCCAGCAGAGGCAACGGGAAGGGTGGGAGTTCTGGACCTGCCCTGCGGTCTTTGATGTTTGGCACCAAGTGGGACTGGGAAAGCCTTTCAAAGGCCCCATTCTGAGGTTGAGGCTAACAGTGGCCACATGTGGAGAATGTGCATTTATGGAGTGCTTACTGTATGCCACCACCTGTGCTGAACCCTCACTGGATGGCTCAGAGGGACAGCGGATGGTGAGCTTAGGTGGGATTAGGTAGTGATAAGGCTTACGGAGGGCGGACAGTTAACCTTGAGAAAGAGGCTGCCAGAGAGCAGAGAAGGCCCTCCACGCCTGACTGGAAGGAGGCGCAGGGATGTCTGACAAGGGAGCCCTAACTGGATCCTCTCCCCTGTTAAACCTCTCCATCCGGCTAAGCCTCCAGGACACAGACACCCAGGGCCCCCCCTCAACCTCAGTCAGCACACCCCTGGAATCACAGGCTGGCTACATGGCCACACCCACTGCCCAGAACACTTCTCCATTCCTCTGCCTGGCGGAACCCCATTTGTCCTTTCTGAGAGTCACATGGCTCCCCTCCCACCCGGCCGTTCCCCACCCTCAGGCTGGGTCAGGAAGCCATAGCTACCAAAGATGCTCTTGCCCCATCTATATCCTTGCCTTCCCACCAGCTGGGTGCCTCCAAGAGGGTCCCTGGGATGGCTGGGGGCAGCCTCACACCCCACCCAGGGAAGCTCAAGGGCAGATGACCAGGAGCCGAGGGCCAGCTCTCTCATCCCTGCCTGGCAGGCAGGTTTCATGCCATACCTTCCTTCCTCCAGTGCTGGGAAAAGGTGCCAGGGGTGAGGGGAGCAGGCTGCCCACAAGGCCAGGGCAGAAGTAGCTACTCTACTCAACCTGTCCTGTAGGTAATGGGGAAGCAGGATCCCAACCTGGGCTTCCGTGTGGCAAGACATCTGGGTGAGGCCAGACTTCCTCTAGGGCCAGTAACCCCCGAGTCTTGTAGGGACCCTGTCCAACAAGTGGGGTGCCTCCCCTCCACCCATGGAAGAGGGTGAGAGGACCTGGGACTCTTAAGTCAGCACAACTGAGAGCTGAACCTCTGAGGTTGTCTGGCTGAGCACCTGTAGCTCATCACTTCCTCTCGCGGAGGCTCGGTTTCTCGTCTGTATAATGGGCCACAGCACATGAGTCACTGCGATCCTATAAAATGCCTGGCACGTGGGAAGGTGCTGGGTAAGCTGGCACTCCCTCCTGCGTCGCCTGGTGCTATTGCCAAGCCCAGGGAAGCGAACAGAAGGAATCGCCCGATTCTGACAGCCGTCCCCTCGGCCTTGGCTGAGGGAATGTAAACACTCCGTGGAGGACCTCCAACTGCCTGTGTCTGTGGCGCTCTGGCGCACTCCGAGTTTGTTTCTAAACTGGGAAGCTTCGCGAGGCAGCACAAACAGCCCTCTGCCCCCTCTCCCACCTCCCCCCCATCTGCTGCTGCTCCTCTGTCCTTGGAAGCCTGTGTTTAACACACCATTGCAGCTGGAAAATCCTCTCTCCGCAAAGCCCCAAAAGCAGCTCCGCTGATATTTATTGACCTGTTCATCTAGCTAGACCGCGGGTAGGAGACCAGAAATAAATGCTTGCTGCATAGCGACGGGGCCTGGCTTCTGTAATGACCTCACATACACTCCCCTCGGCTCTCACCCCACCCCACCCCACGCCACGGAAGCAATGGCAGTTCTCTAACCTTTTCCTAGAAATGTGATCACAGCAGTTTCACCCACTTCCGACACTGGCAGTGACTGCTGGGAGGGGCTGAGAGGAATCAGGAGCAGCAGGATGCTGCCTGGGGCTCTGCACAAGAACAGGGCCTGTGCTGGGGGGGTGGAGGGGAGGGCTGGGGCCTGACCCCCATCGTAGCTGGCCCCTTGGCAGAGACGTGCTTTCTTCAGACCTTGGCACTGATGGGCCTCATGTGCCCTCCATTCACTTAATGAGCACCACATGGAGCTTGTCAAAATCATCCTCCACACGGAAGGCGTGGGGCAGTCGGGAGTTTAAGCCTGGCCAGGCCCTCATCTTGGCAGTGAACAGCGGGGGACCCCCTGGACCGGAGGAGCAGCGAGCAGCAGCTCCTGGCACCTTCCCCAGCTGGCGATGGGGCACCTGTGTCTTCCTGCCCAGATCAGCCCTTTGTGAGGCAGGGGGCCCACAGCTCTCGGGGGACCGGGACCGTCAGCCTGCTGGCGAGGGTGGGTTCGGGGGGGGGGGGGCTCTGGAACCTCTTTTTTGAAAGCAGAAAGTTGCTGTTTGGGAGTCCTAAGCCCCAGGCTCTGTCAGGCTCTGCGACCAACGCTGGACACCTGTCCTTGGGGGGAGCAGCATCACCAGAGACAGCTGGTGCTGCCCCCCTCCTCCCCAGGGCACCGGGGATTTAGGTCAGAGGACTGCAGAGGGTGGGGAGTCTGCCTGGGCCCTGGTTACCACGACCCGCCCCTCGGGCCTTGGGTCAAGACAAGTCATGTGGCCACCGTCACCCCAATGACGTCAGGGGCCTGGTAGTGACGTCACACCACGGGTGCACTGAGCACCCGTGTACCTGTGAATTTTTTGTAGGAATACCGGCCATAAGGGGACCCTGTCACAGTCTACACTCAGCGTCATCCTCAAAAGCAGCCGCCAGCATGTAAGGGAGGCTCCACGTGCCCTTCTGAGCGGATGCCCCTGAAGATTGAGGCTATCTGGGAGAACCCCAAGCTGTCCCCTCCTCGTGCCCCCTCCTCCAACACTCCAAAGCGCGACAGTTCCCCGGGAACCCCGGGAATGTTCGGAAGACAGAGCGCTACCCCTGCTACTTCTGCTGTTGGCTTTAGGGGCGGGGTGACCTCTGGCGGACGCCCACCCGGCCCAGGGCCCAGCAGAGTCCGCCCAACGGGTCCCCAACCTCCACTCGGGCGGCTGGCGAGTCCAGACAAGTTGTGTGAGGTCAGGAGGCACCGCGGCTTCAGGATCTCCGAGAGTCCGAGGCCCTTTATTTCCAGCCCGGGCGGCCCCTAGTCCAACCCGCAGACCCGCCTCGCGGAACTCACCGGATCGGCCAGGTCTCAGCGGCGACTCTCCGCTCGCGGGGTGACAGCCATGCAGAGGAGACAGAAACGGCCGAGAGGGCCCCCGTGGGGCCGATGCTCTCTCCGGGTGGACGGGGATGCGGTCGGCGAGGCCGAAACACGCGCCGCCCGCGCCTTCCGAAGTCGAAGTCGGAGGTGGAGGGTGTCTCCGCTCAGCGGGGGTCGCGCCCGCCCGGGACCCGGGCCGCGGGGGCGCTCAGGCGGCGCATCTTGGCCGCGGCCGGTGCTCACCGCGTCCCGCGGGCGGCGCTGCGCCTCCCCTCCGGGTCGCGCTCAGGGCGGCAGCTCAGCCCGCGCCGCTCCCCGGGGCGCCCCCTCTGCCCGCGCCTGGAGCCCGGCGGCCGCGGCCCCTCTCGCCGGCCCCAGCTGCAGCCTGTCTTTGTTGCTTCCTCTTGCTCGACCGCCCGCCCGCGGCTCGTAGCCCCCAGATTCGCCCGGAGCCGGGGGAGTCTTCTCCTTGGGGGTTGCACGCACCTGCAGCGGTCCGGGCGCCTCGCCGGGCATGCACCAGCCTCCGCAGGTTGCAAAGAGCGGCGGCGAGAAGGCACCGGCCCCTCCTCCTCCTGCTCCGAGCCCCGGTGTGGGGGGAGGGGAAGCCGGCGAGCCGCGGCAGCCGAGGCGGCGGCAGCGGGCGGCGGAGGCTCGGATGCAGTCCAGGGGCCTCGGCGCCTAGAAATCACTGGTCCGGGTGGAGCAGGGAGTGCGAGGGGCCGGCCCGAAGGACGGTGCACCGAGACTGCGAGCTCGCGAGGTGCAGCAGGGCGGCGCGCACCGGGCTCTCACGCGCCCGTGGCCCCGGGCGGCGCGCGGGGGCTCCCGGGACCTCAGCCTCGCGCCGCCTGGCGCGCGCCGGCGTCTCGCCCGCTTCAGGTCCGCGTGCCGTGCGCTTCGGCCCCGCAGGCGGCGGCCCGGCTCTTCGCCCTCCTCGGCTGTGAGCGCAGCCTCTTCGCGGAGCTGCCGGCCCGGCCGCCCTGCCGCTGCTCCGCTCCGGCCCGACTGACAGGCGCGAGCGCCCGCAGCAGCCGCGGCGTCTCGCTCCCCGCCCGCCCTCCGCGGTCAGGCCCAATCAGGGGCAGCCGGGAGGCGGTTACCAGGGTGACGCGGCTCCGCGTCCTGCGGGGGGCGTGGCCGAGGGGCCGCCACGCGCGCTTTTCGCGGCAAAATTCAAAGGCCGGCAGGGTGGCTCTCCAGCCTCCTCCCCAAAGTTGGGGCGAGGCGGGGCCAACCTCGAAAGGACTGCAACTCCCAGTATGCAGCGCGCAGGCACCGGGCGGAGGGGTCCCAACTGGGGGTGCAGGGCATGTTGGTACTTGCAGTCCCTTTGTCGGGCACAGGGGAGGGGGTGGGAGGGGAGCGAGGGCCTGGCCGGTGTCATTATTGAGCACACATTTGGTAGCTATTTGTTAAAAATAATGAAAACAATAAAAGAAGCTAACACATGTAACAAAGTACTTTACCTAATCTTCACACACAACCCTGTGAGCTAGGTATTGTCATCACCCCCATTTCACCAACGAGAAAACGGATATGGTAGGTATTAGTATTATACTCCCCACTTACAGAGGAGATTGAGGTAAGAGATGTGACGGGACACTGTCTGGAGTGCCTTGCCCCAGGGCACAGTTTCGTCAGTGATGGAGTTTTGGTAGCACATTTGAGATCTCTGGAGCACTAACCATATAACCAGACACCATAGCGAGCTCCTTCCAAACTCTATCTCATGGAATCCTCACCACATCCATGGGCGGCAGGCACTGCCCCACTTAACAGATGGGGAAAATGAGGCACAGTACAACCTGGGTTCCAAATTGTGCATCCATCAAACTATACGGAACCTTGCTTTTTGCTTTCTAAGCAGCTTCATAGGTTCTCATTTGTTCTACCTGAGAGCCCATGACTGCCTCATTTAACAGTCCCATTTAACAGCTGGCAAAAGTGAGTCCTGGGAGGAACAGTTCCCTCAGTTGCCATGTGTCCATCACACAGCGAGTTGGGGAGCCAGCTTTCCAGGAACGACCTCAGGATCCCTACAGAAATGTAAAGCAGGAGCCAGAACTCTCCCACCGCCCTCAGACCATGTCCATGTGACCCCCCTAGAATCCCACAGAACCTGGGTGAGTTCCAGCTCTGCCTTTGCTAGCTGTTGGCCTTTAACATTTGTTTTCATGACTCTGTGCCTCAGTCTCTTGTCACTATATCCTAATTCCTACTTTACAGGGTTGTTATGAGGGTAAAGTGAGTTACTGGGCGGAAAGGACTCAGAACACAGTAAGTGCTCAATAAATGCCGATTGTGGTTATCAAGACGTGAGGGCTTTGGAGGCCCTGCGGAATGCACTGTGCGGGATGAGCTGATTATAGTCGGCCCTGGCCTACTTCAGGAGCCCAACCACCCCTACCCAGAACCTGGGAGAGGCACCTGCCGGGGAGCTCAGGGCCGGCCCAAGTAGGCCACCTACTGCCTTATCTAGGACAGGAGCTGGCCCTGTTTCAGGCTGCTGAGCAGCTCACATGCTGGCTGCCTTCTCCTCTTTAGTTATCTCCGAAGCCCCACCCACCCCACCCCCTGGGAGTTGGGGCGGGGGTGGTGATTTACCTGGGAATGTGATACGGGGCCAGCTGCTTCCACTCCGGGGCCCTCCGCCTGAACTGGCAGTGACGTTGGGGCACGTTGCCTGGGCAACGTTCTGGGTGGACTGGGGTGTGGACAGGTGGGGAGAATGTATGGCACACCCAAGCCAGGTGCAGGGCGAGGGACCATGACAACCAAAACCCTGGGAAGGAAGAGGCAGGAGGGGGAGTAGCAGGCAGCGGGCCACACACAGCCTTCCCAGCGTTTGGGGTTTTTTCCCTTGTGGTAACCATGACTTGACATCAACTATGGGCCAGGCAGTGCTCAGTGCTATTTATATCACATATTCTATCTCCTTTCACCCTCACAGCAACCCTGTGACGTCTATTTGGTTATTACCCACATCTTAGAGCCCAGGAAAGCCATGTGACGAGTACAAGGTCACAGGATGACAGAACCGGATCCCAAACACCCGCCCCCCTGACCTTGATTTATTGTATGAAGGGCCAGCCACTAATGGACTGGGTGTGACCTTAAGGGCAACTTTCTTCTCCTCTCTGGACCTCAGATTCCTCTGCTGGAAAATGGAGAGTGAGGCTCACAACCTAACCTACCAATCAGACTCTGGAGCTGCCCCCCCCCTCACCCCAGCAGTTCCCAAAGGCCCCCAGTGGTTACAGTTTACAGCCAGGGGTTTAGAAGATCCCAAAGCCCCACCCTCTCTGAAGTCTGTGACTCCAGGATGTGCGAATGGTGGGATTTCAGGCAACAGCAGGCTTGAAGGTAGCCATGTAGGTGGAGGGGTTTCTGATAGGTGTCTCTCACACCCCTCCAGGCAGTGAACACCCCCTCCCCGCCCCCCAATAGGTGCTCAGTCTTGGTCCTTCACTATGTCCCACACTCACAGTGCCTACCACCCCATACCACCCCCAACATGCCCACCTCCCTGAGGTCTGGCTCTTATGCACCCTCCTTCCCAACTTCCAGCCTCAGTCCAGCCTCCCTTGCTTTTGCTTGTGTCCAGTAACTGCATTATGTGAATGGAGTCAGTGTCAAGATGGACTTGCCATGGTCCCCAGAACCACCAGGCAGTCAAGCCCTGACGCTGGCTCTGGCCAAGGGTCTAAGAGGCCCTGAGGAGACAAGGGGACAGATGGCACCTCTTTCCTCACTGCCCTTGTATGCTCCCTACATACCAGCCTTGCTACATTACCTGCACATCCTCCCATGTGTCTCTTGGACTTCCAAGCCCATGCTGTCCCTCTCCACCTGGAATATCTTCCCTCCAGGTAGTTGATTCTTGCTCCGCCTTCAGATTTCAGCTAGGGTGCCACCTCCTCTGGGAAGTCTTCCCTGACTGCCACCCTCCAGGCCAGAGTGCTTCCCCCTTTAAAGATGTACCCAGGCTGTTATAATGGCCCACCTATTTGCCAGTCTTCCCCACCAACCTTGGGTCTCTGCAAGGGAAAGGGCTGCACTCAAACTGTTTTATCCCTAGCACAGGCTGGCATACAGTCAGTGCTAAATAAAGATTTGTTGAATTAATCTCTGAATCAATGAATGAATGTGCCCATTCATTTAGTTTAGTTTTGTTTTCTTGTAGGTAGGAAGAGCAGGGAGAGGAGGAGGGGGAGAATCAGACGTACTGGTATGAATCCCGACTCTTTAGGTTACTAGCCATGAGCCTCAGCTGCTCTATGCCTCAGTTTCCCTCATCTATGAAACAGGGTTAAGTGCCACATAGGCACTGCTCCAGGGGCCTGAAGCCTGGAACTTTGCACCCACATATATAAGATTAGTCATGCCCTCACTCGCTGAGGCCTGAGCATTCCTCCTTTAATTCTGCTCATTCATTCATTCATTCATTCATCATTTCCTAAGGCCCTGTCCTGTGCCGGTCACTGAGGATTCAACAATGACCCAGACACAGGCTCTGGCTTCATGGAACTCAAGTTTCATGGGAGACAAGGAAGGCAACTAGCAGTTATCACCCAGGGTAGCAGGGAAGGGGACAGCCCCTGACCCGGCAGGGGGGCTGGTGATGGTGAAAGGCTGATCAGTTGCCCTGGGAAACATGAGCAGGTGACTGAGGGGAGAAGGGAGAGAAGAGAGCTCTTGGCAGAGAAACTGCCCCTGCAAAGGCCTAGCGTCCGGGTGAGGGTGCTGTGACTGTCCCACGCACGGAGGTGGGTCAGGGGCTAAGCGGCAGCTGGGGAGGGAGCAGACACCGGGCCTTTATTCGGTGGCGGAGCAGGCCTGCCCCAGCCTCCCTCCCAGCCCCCACGTGCCTGCCTCACCTGCCCTCATTGCTGTAATCTAGGCCAGAGCCTGGAGGGAGCCGAGCCCCCATTGGTGCACACCACGTAGATTTTTCAGAGATAATTTAATCAGAGCTATTAATAAGCAGAAAAGAAAGAGCTCTTTATGCTCCTCCTGGAGAAAAGGGAAGGGAAGGAGCACGGTAACCTTGTTATTCACCCAGCCCTGCCCCCCAGTACCTGGAGCCTCTCTCTGGGGCAGGCC